AATATAATCTATAAAACAGCAAATACTCTGGCATTTGTAAGTCACAAAAGTGTTGTTCCTGGACGTATCCTTTTTAAAGAAAGGTTCAAGAATACCTTTTGTTTGTGAATTAGTAATTTTGTGTTGTACCTAGAATTGGCACTTCTGATGGATATTTTGTTTCTCCCAGCCTCTAAAGGTGAGTTCTGAGTGGAGGCCTTAAAAGAAGCCACAAACCCTCTACCCACCATTCGCTTTTAGCCTGTTACTCCCACAGTTCTTATTTAGTGCTACATAATTTGAACAGTTAATAATCCATCTCTCTTTACTGTTCAACCTTTCTGCAGTTCATTCATTGTCATAAATGAACAAAATATACAAACAGTGAGTTACACAGAAGAAAACTGTTCATATTTAGTAACTGACAGAATTTGAATCTGGCAAACAGTAATCACGTAGCACAGAACTGTAGAACTGCTGTGCTGTAGAATTGGCTGGCTCCAGACAGGAGCCTTTAATTTTCTTCCGTAGTCCTATTTTACATGAAGTTCAAGATGTTTACCATCATTTTGTCACAATACAAGCTTAGATACTAAGCTCCCGTTAAGTTTAACTTAAACTTAGAGGCCTCAAAATGTATTTGTCAGAATGAAAGTTTTCTTGGATAAAAATTTGTGATCATGCGCATGCACATTTTGATGACATTAATATACTTTTATGCATGAGTACACACTGCGGAATTTATTCCTTAAGGCGAAGGAAGTAATTTTCTTCCAGTCACATCTCTGTCCTACCATCTGTATATTTCATCTACAGATCCATTTCATGGATTTTGATTAAATTTGGTATCAAAGATATGCAACAAGGGCCAAAAAACTTTTTCTTCTGGCCTCTGCATCCAGACTGATCCTGGCACCCCCACCCAGCCTTCTCCTATCTAGTGGGTACTGGGGGGTCCATTCTGCAGGGAAGAAGCATGGCCAAGGCATGATGTTGACCCCCATCTAGTGCTGAGGTCAAGAATATACCTCTTCCACTTTCCCCAAGCACCTTTACAGCACGTGCCAAGGACAGCTTTACTAGATACGTAACCAAAGTTCCCAGCTATGTTTAATTTTGCTGGACTTTAAACTTCACATGGGGGCATAGGTGTATTTTTTAATTTTTATTTTATTAACGCCAAATTAAAAATTATCTGGAATACCTCCCCTATCACTTTCTTTTATTTTGTCCCACATCTTCTAAAAATTAATTTGACTGTAGAGAACAGTTTATACTGCATATTGTTGTGTCTCCATTTTTTCACTAAACTTTAACTTTTGCCACATTTAAATTTGCTGTATCCTGATACTGTCACATCACTGCATTTAAATGTCCTTCATATGCTGTACCTCAGTATGTTAAGCAGAGGACATTTAGAAGCTTCATGTTGGGGGAAATGTCATGTTAGTTTTGTATTAATAAATTAATGTAATTAAATGAATCTTTAATTTACAATAAATTGGTGAGAAGTCCTTGGCCAAGTGAAAATAGGGCCCATAACCTTCAGCCTTTGTATATTGCTATACAGCCTTAACTGCCATGTGAACTTGTCTAAACATATTAGAAAGTAGAAATGCTTATCTGTGTTCAGTATAAGTGTCTGGTTTGGCAGTAAGAATACTAGTCGTTTGTGTATAAAAGCATAAGGAAGTTCAGAAATGTACATGAGTATGGAGTCAAGTATAATTATTTATTAAATCTAAATCCATATACTTCTTAACTACAAACTTAGATGTATTGGTGATGCCTTTGCGTCATGTATCAAGACTCTCAGACTTGAACAGTGAAGAATTATTTGATCTGTTTTCTGTTGTCGAGAAAGTTCAGAATGCCTTCGAAGCATGCTACAGTGTTTCTGCAAATACAGTGTACCTTAAAGATGAGTGCAATGTAAGTTAAGATAACATGTGATACTCACTTCATCCATTCTTTTCTTTTTATCTTAACTATTGGTGATATTTTCTTTCACACTTTAGAAGATTATCTACATTATGTAAATATCTAAATATATTTCAGGGGAAACAGTAGTAATGATTGCCTTTCTCACTCATAAAACCATTTTGCAATATAACACCAGTATTTCTGAAGGTGTAAAAATGTGCAATCATGTAGGGCTTAGGCTTTTGTGAGCTTTATTTACTTATGGCCTCTGCTACATAGGCCTAATATATCAAGAAGCTGGCTGTCATAGCATTTCTGTCAGCAAAAATTCAGTTGTCGCCTTCTTTATTTTACTTGCAGGTGACATGACACATCCCGCAAACATCTTAAACCAGAAATTAGCCTTGCAGTTTACCTCTCACCAAGCAATTCTATGTCATTTACATGTAGAATTGATGGGCATGGCTGTAATGGACATATTTCCGTGTGGTTCTTACATTCTCTAAGCCACTCATTCTTCCATCATCCCTTAAATTATTCATTGGGTACATTCATTGCTAATGAACTCAATAGTTAGAACATCATTGTTAAGCTTCATGTATTATTTGACATTTTTATTGCAGGCCAAAAGATAAGGTTGTATTTCACGCAATGCACTGTCAATTCCTTAAGAATTTATCTCTTTGTTTACAGCACCTGCATGTCCATGTATTGCCAAGAAGACTTAATGATTTCCCAGAAAATGACATGATATATGAGCTTTTGCAGAAATATTATGAAACGCCTGCAGTCGTTTCAGGTTCAGGTGATATGGTTCAGAATGTGGAAGTCTTGCGATCATATTTGAATACCTCATAATACAGAGATTCCAGACATTTCTGTTTTGCATATTTCTACCATATTTTCAAGTCAATTTTATACACCACCAGACAGATATATAATAAAATTTAGGTGATGTGCTTACATATTATATGCAGCTGTGATTGTTATAAATGTACTTAATTACACTGGTGATGGTGCTGCAAAAATCTGTGCTGTAGTGACGGAGAAGAAGAACTTTGAACATCTTAGGGATATTATCTTTCGTAGGACTCAAGGAGGGTACTTTTCAGGATAACCTGAGGAAGTGCATTTGATAGAAAACTGATGTTAAATTCATGTATTGAGTTGATACAGGAACATTTTAGCTTGTGTTTGGATTTCATGTAACATTATCTCTCAGACTTGTTAAACAAAGGTAATCTGCCTCCCCTTTCAAATTGCTGTGTAGCAGGTCTCAGTCAGGTGATGCTCAGAGGTCTGTCAGTCTGACCAGCAGCCCTGTAATACATAAGTTTGTATTTCCCCTTCCCATACAATAAAGTTTAAAGAAGGGTAAAAGGAGGTAATATTATCTTCATTTACAACTTGAAGAGTGGAAGGACATCTTTGAATGTTTGTAATCCATTAAATATCTCACAGTAAGGATCATGTTGAGCTATTTTCATCTACTTAACCTGTAACTATGAATAAAAGTAGTAAGTAAAGTAAAGTTTGTCACACCATACGCCATGTAGGCGCTTGGGGGGAGTGGAGGTATTGCTCCTCTCTTCCTTGACCTCGGCACTAGAGGGGGGTGAGTGGTCAGCATCACGCCCCGGCCGGCTTTACCCCCGGGAAAGGACCCCGGTACCCATTGGATAGGAGGCTGGGTTTATAAATTACAGTTTTTTACTTTGTTTAGCAGAATGGATGGCGAAAGATTTCAGACTGAACAACAGCAACAGAATATCCTAAAACTTTCTACTGCTGTCACTTCGTTCAGTTGAATTTTAGATCATACCAAATATTGTCACTGACCATTAGGCGTTGAAGTGACCCATACTATTACCTGTGACATATGTTGGTATTATCTTTGGATATAACCAACTCAACGTACCGGTTATATGGTCGGAACCCGAAGGCCGTCATAGCAAGCTTTATTGTCGTATGCTGTGGTGTGCAAGTTGATAATTATGGCAGAATTACTGTTGGACTCTAAAATAAGGGTGTGGGTATTTTTACCCATAGTTGTTATAACATTTTTAGTTGGGGTGGTGAGGCATTATGTATCAATTTTGCTTTCATCAAAGAAGAAGGTTGAGTTGCAGCAAGTGCAAGACAGGTAATGGAGATTCGAGTTTACTTGTTACTATATTGTAGCTAAGGAATTTTGAGTTTAGTAGATTATATCTGGAACTGAACTTAATTCGGAGTAACTGTTTTTAATAATTAGAAGTTCCGTTTTTCTTTTAATTTTTTTCATCTGCAACAAATACTCTAAAGAAGTTGCAGTAAATGTATGTTACATGCTGATAGGTTAGTGAATAGCCGACTTTTTGTATTAACATTTGGTTCGCTACTGTGAAATGTTTGGGTTGTCTTGTTCGGGAATGAGCAGTATTGCTTGTAGCTATATTTATTTAGTTCTTTATTCATAGAACTAGCTTTACACATGTGTGGTTTTGCTTTGAGATATGTTAACCTCATCTAAATTGTATGTTTCTCACTAAATTGTGTATATCTGCTATAAAGTTTGAACAAGGAGAGTAAAGTATATTTACATGTTTTTTTGACGTAAATACGTCTATATGGAAGGGTCATTTGGCAAAACAGCGTTAGGAAAATGTGTAAGATCCATACCAACAATGTGTAAATATGGACCGACATTGGTCAGTTTTTATATGAACTCCTGCGTGCATAACTATGCTTTACTCCTTTACCTAAGAAACTAATTGTTATGTCATCTATTTATTCGGCCTTGTTGTGTTTCATTACTGCTGCCAACAATCCGCTTTCGTTATTGCGGAAAGAGCTGAGCTGTGAATCGCTTGTAGAAGTGCGTCGTAGAGTAGATAATATTGTGCTGTTAAAAACGTTTTAGAATATCACAAGTACTTATCTTGTATAAGAATTATTAAGAAATCTGTGATACTGGCATCCACTCTCTCCATTTTAGTTTTGATTAAATTGATCGTTGCCAGTGGACATGGTGGTCTCTTACAATTGAACAAAGTTTGAGATAGGGGATATAAAGAGATGTTTTCAATTATGGCCACAGAAGGTCGTAATACAATGCCCATAATATTGGCAGGAGATTTTAACATTGATTTAAAGAAGGAGGAAAATCAAAGCTTTGTCACATTTATGGAGGAAACATTTGGCTTAATGTTGATGTCAGATCCTCAATGTAGTACTACTAGATCAAAATCTTGCACGAAATGTTGATACTCTAAAGTGTACAAATTTTATAATATATTTCAGCTACCACAGACCCATCTTAAGCGTAACTAATTCAAGTTGATTAAGCAATGTCTTAATCAAACTATTTACTCAATTGTAAAGCATGTATAAAGGGAATATTTAGAATAAAGCTAATATATAAACTTCCTTTCATTGTATTTATTGCCTAAAAATAATTTAAATACAAAGACGTATTTACATCAGATTCTCCGGAACCGTGGTTCCACTGTCAATTTTTGTAAGGTCCACACAGAAAGTGTTATTGAGAGATGGCCTTTGATATTATATAAGGCATTTCTGTTCCGAAGTTTCCATGTGCTGTGTGAAGTTGGCTATATATAGAGAAACTGTATTGAAGTTTGATTGTAGCTTGTATAGATAGTCATTATTTTACTTCTTTAAAATTGTTTTCATTATTTTTCAGTCAAGTTATAATCAGGTCTCGCAGTCTGAGGGAACATGGGAATTACATTCCAAAACAGTCATTTCTAATGAGACGCCACTTTTTCAACAGTGAAGAATCAGGTTATTTTAAAACCCAAAAGCGTGTAGCTGTTAATCAGAATCCAATGACAGACCCAAGTATGATGACAGATATGTTGAAAGGCAATGTGACCAATGTTCTGCCCACGATTGTCATTGGAGGTTGGATCAACTGGATGTTTTCTGGGTTTGTTACAAGTGAGTTAACTTTATTTTTATGAGTGAGTTCATATGTAAAAAAGAAATGCTCAGTGACAAAGAATGAAAATTGCGATATGTGTGTGTATTGCAACGTGGTGGAACAACTGTTTTAGTATACTGCTGAATATCTTTGCAGCTGATAAATTTAGAGAACCTAAACTGTTCCCCTCAGGACCAAATTTTAATAAACTTCAAAATGCCATTGAGAAATTGAAACTGCCTGCCATCGTCATTTTAATTCCGTCTAAATTGATGTAAGCTGATGTGATGCTTTAGGGATAGGCACACTCACATTCTCTGTTTGGAAGTAGAAAGAATTTCCACTGGAATGCAAAGAATTCCTTATTGTCCATATTTATAAAATGGAACGTGAAACTACTTGAGGTTATAGTAATTTTTGAAGAATTTCTGTTTTGTCACTTTCATACGTTTTATCCGCTACTCTTTGCACACACACAATAAGCTTCTCAGAAAGCACCCATACACCAGGGTGTTTGTGAAATATGTCTCTTAATCTGAGTCAGCAAGAACACATCATGCGTTTGAAAACAGAATATGCAAGAAAATATTTACATTCGGGCCATGCGATGGTGAGCTGGAATATTGAGGATATTACAGAATGAGAGACTTCATGAGTCATACGATCGATGTGGTCTATGAAACTAGTGGAATTAAGGAGAGTGCAATTAGCTGGATGTGTGGCTTGAATGGAGAAGACAGAATTGTGTAAAGAATTTTGATGGGAAGTTCTGAGCAAGTAGGCAGTAAGCACCTCTGAAATGTCAGTAAGCTCACTGGCCGCCCTCACCGAGGTCTCTCATGGCTTTCTTCAGTTTCTTTTGGAAAATGCTAATACAGTACTTTTAACATGAAATAGGCCATTACAATGTCATTGTGATTTGTATTCATTGAACTGTCACACAGCACAGACATTTGAAAGAACGTACGTTCAGAAAAGGAGTGTTATTGAAGTATGTTAGATGCAGAGATTTGAGAAATCTAAGTTTTAATAGAATTTTTGTGATTTCTTTTAGCAAAAGTTCCTTTCCCATTGACACTGAGGTTCAAGCCAATGTTGCAGAGAGGAATTGAACTTCTTTCACTCGATGCTGCTTGGGTGTCGTCCGCATCTTGGTATTTTCTGAATGTGTTTGGTTTGCGCAGTATTTATACCCTTGTTCTTGGTGAAAACAATGGTAAGGTTAAGTTTTATTTTGTGTGAGAATGCTTTCTGATCTGATTTGCTATTGAGCAGTTTGGTGGCAGACTTTTATTTGAAAGGTACTGGGTTCCAATCTTGGTGAGGTTAATTACAGGTTTGTCGTTTTTCCCTTCATCTGCCCAGGCAAATGTTGAAGTGGTACTTTCAAGTAGGTCATCACAACCTCCTTCCAAATTCTTACTTACTAATCTTGACCATTATTCCGTCTTGTATTGTACAAACATCGCAGTTAAAAGAGTGTCATCACATAACCCGAGAATCAATCAAAGTCTCATTTCCCATAGACAATAATTCTCGTGGTTTTAACGTGCATATCTTCGTGTAAATTAAAACTCGTAATTTGGTTGAATTTGCCATTGATAGGAAATCACCCCTGAATGGGTGTGGCTCACTGACGGAGCACATACCTTTTTTTCATGAGGAAATTTGTTTGAATCTTATCTGATGCACTTATTTCTGTGGGTTTATTGATTTTCCTCAGTTACTGTAAAGCTAATGTTGTGATTGGACCTTCACATTCCTTTTCCTTTCAAATGTTTCTTTGGTGATACTGTGACAACAACAACTTTTTAAAAGTATGCTTTTTTATTTACAGACTTTTTGTATGTTCTTGTGTACTCGATTTAAATGTAAAGCTGATGGTTGATATATATATATATCAGCGTGAAATATTTTGGCGTGTTACTTGTGCATAGTTTACAACTGATAATGACATATTTTTTCCTACTTACTAGAATTTCAGTAATGGCGTTTTTGCAATCGTTTGTCCTTAGCTGCCGATCAAGCCCGACACCTTCAAGACCAGATGTCTGGTGCGGCAATGGCAATGCCTCCTGACCCAAAAGCTGCTTTCAAAGCAGAGTGGGAAGCTCTTGAAATATGTGAACACCATTGGGCTCTTGCGAACATAGAAAATGAGATTTTGGGTTTAGCAGGACCTTTTGCTGACAGCATGTATCACCAGAATAAAGTTGAATGATGATATCTCTAATTTTGTTTCCAATTTATTACTGCAATGAGCGGCGTGCCGAGTCCGCTAGAGAAATGAGAGGTGATTCTCAAACAGATCACAGATTAACAATTAATCCAGTTTCAATTTCGTCTGTTGCTGAAGCGAGTGTTTTTTAAAATAAGAAGTGATTAGAAGATGATCGTTAGTATAATGTTGCTCGCCATTATTTTGTAACTGAATTACAGCGGTGAAATGAAGATGATGAGATCAAACTGAATGAGCATCCTGTTCAAAAAAAATTTTGAGTTTAAACATCATTTTCAAAATGTTTGCAATGTAAAGTCTATTACCTTTAAGTCCAAGGGTCCTTGTGTTGACTCCTGTGCAGCCGAGGAATATAGAAGTTTAAATAATTCTCATATTTCCTTCGCACGGATCAGTCATATTTAAGGAAGTGAACTTTACTGGTATAAAGATGTGTGATAAATAAATAAATAAATAAATATATAGCGCACTGTACTAGAGCATGAATGGATTTTGGAATAAGCATGTTTAACACCCTGGACTAATTTTCAGGGTTTTGAGGATCAGATATTGGACACTAATCAATTCACAAATTGTACATATAATAATGGAATTAAAAAATTGAAGTCACGTGATTTGTTATCCTCCGAAATAATAAATCTTTCTGCGTATATAGTGTATGAGAACACTAGGAAACCTAATATGGAAAGAAATAGGATGGGTGGTGTGGACTGGATTCATCTGGCTCAGGTCAGAGACCAGTGGCGGACTCTTGTGAACAAAGTAATGACCCTTTGGGTCCCTTAGTCTTAGGAATTTCTTGAGTGGCTGAGCGACTGTCAACCTCTCAGGAAGGACTCGGCTCCATGGAGTAGGTAAGAAAGTGTTAAATTTTCATTTTTATGAAATCTTGGTAATACATGACACTCGTTGTTCTTTACTCCCTGCAAACATTTATGTTGAACACAGGATTGTACTTTATGTAAATGTGGAGTGCATAATTTCTATGTGCATATGCTTGTATTGTGTACTGTCTTTTGTTCGTATAATCCGTTGGGCACTATGTAAATTGTTTTATTTTATCATATTAAGAGTAACATCTACTCTTTTGTATTAAAAATAAGCATTCCATAACTTTTTTCCAAGTGCAAGGTGAAATATAACATTATTTTGTACACTTTCTATGATTTTTTGGGCTGTGCAGAAAAGACTATTTTTCTTACGTAAAAATAATTGGACTACTAAATATTTATTATTATGGACTGTACATTGTGGGAAGAAGTCACTTTTCTGTGCTCCCTCTAAACATAATTCACTTTCTTATGTTTTATGTTTGGAAAGTAATTGTGCTATATAGCATTTTCCCACCAGATCACAAAATCTGTTGCTTGTAATGCCATAATTGATTGCATTAAACTATTATTGCAGCTTAAGCTCCGCAAATTTGAAAGGAGAACGTGAATTTTCTGATTCAAAATATATTTTTTTCCAAAAAATGGTGAAAATGTGGCTTGCAGATTCCAGCTCAGACAAACGGTATCAAATGGTAGGAATTTGAGTAAGGAATGTAATGGAAGGATGGGGCTATGGCTAATTACGTGACATCCTTGCATTTGCTTGACGAGATCGAGGAAAACTTCAAAAAAATCTTCAGTTAGCTGATCTCCGAACTAATATTTCAACCTAGGATGTCCCAAGAACGAAGTAGGGGTGCCAGTAACTCGCATATTGCATTACGGAGACTTGTGTCGTAGTGTAAGTGTTTTTCCACACAAAATCAAACGCTGAAACAGTGTATGTGTATAGTTCGGCACGCCGAATCGATTTACGTACTCGCTGGAATGAGAGCAGTGGAATCATCTTTAACTGCTATCAACGCCTCAAGTTATATCAAATAGGGTTATGCTGGAGAGTCATGTGAACTGAAACACGTTTGTTTATTATGTGTAAAGACGGTAATAAAAACAAGTTATATTTATTACCTTTATTGCAACCTGATATGTTTTGAGTGTTCCATTAATGCACGCATGCTCAGACATGGCTTGTCTACGAGCCGATGTCGATGTTAGTTTAGTTGCAAGCCGTGTGTGGCGATGGGTGGTTCGTTCGAATTCACTTCCCGTGTGTTTACGCACTGCCTGACAATTTGTATAGTTGGTATCATGTTTCAACGTTTCACAGAAGTAATAATTTAGTTACAGTTCTAAATAGAGTTCAGAATTATTTCTGTTCGCATATTCTATTCGCAGTTTGTAATAAATATGCTTGTGCCCGACTATTCATTTCAATTAAGAAACTAAAAGAATCTCCACTGAAAAGTGCAAAGGTGTTTACTCGATTTTACAGAAGGAAGCTCCATGTTAATGTAAACGGGTAGAGTAATCCCGCAGACGTAACTTTGACCTGAATTTTGGGAGCATTGCGTAAGTACAGTAGCTGCTTGTATTACATTGTTTAAGTCGTGTTTAAAACCATGTCTTAGATCTAAATGCACTTCTGCAGGTTTTGTGTATTTAAACGTGCAATAATGCATTTATCACACTTTCACATGCTTGGTTTATTCCTAGGAACAATCAGTGGACTGCACATACATGTACAAGATACAGACATAACCTTCATATGCCAAACACTGAACTCAGCAAATATAACGGAGTTTACTATAGTGGTGGTTTCTTCTGTAATTATTTTTGCTGGAATACTGTAGTCGGCTGTAATAACTATGTAATTTATACTTGCATTGAAAAGAATTATTGTATGTGTAATGTCATGTTATACATCGTTTGCTTGGGCCTATGGAATGTAAATTAATTCTTTTTTGTTCTCGTAATAATTATAACGTTATATAGGCGTGAAAATGTGCGATTTTGTAACTGTGTGAAACATGCATCCTTGGTTGTACTTGGTTTGTTCACGTTTCGTCTGCACTGTAGTCGAAATGTTTTAGTTTGATTTGTCTCACTGTTATCTCATCATCAAGGAGGTGTCGGAGGCTGTAAGCACCTCTGAAACGTCGGTCAACTTCTACGAGACTACACTGCCCATTGTACTAGAAGGCTGTAATATCAAAATATGTGATAATGTGGCCAAACATGTTTTAAGATATTATGCCATTACTTTCTTGAAGGGACTGAGGAATACTAAGACGTTCATAGTCAATACTGAGCCAGTAATTGTCGTGATCGCGAAGTGTTGAGTGTCTCAAAGCCAGAGCGAGTATCGGCGGATGTTATAAACAGCGAACAGTCGCTGACATTTGTAAGGGCAGAACTAGTCTGTCGTTACCAGGGTCACATCATTGCGCGTTCGAAGGCCGTGTGTGTGCGACGAGTATAGGGGCAAAAACAGCATAAGCAACATGCAAAAACAAACTAAGCGCCGGCATCAGTGGCATTAGTTCGGGTTTGGAAGTGTTTGATGAGAAAATGACAGTGATGGCCGAAAAATAGACTCCGAAACTGAACGAGGAGTTCAACAAGTTACCCGAAACGAGACGACGTCTGGGCAGTGTTCCACCGGCAGATATCCTGGGAGAGAGAAGTAGCAGCTGTTCGCCGTGTTGCAGAGACGAACAGCGCACACGGCGGCGTGTTCGATGCTCTTGGCGCAGTTTGTGGGTGAAAGAGAGCAAGATTTAACTGATTGTGAGAATTATTTCTACTGGTATTGTTTGACTGTTCTACGACACAGCGAACAAGGAAGTTGATTCCAATTGCAGTTGAAATGGCGTCCATTCTTTCGACGGATCCAAGACCACGCGCTTGCTGTTCTGTTTGCATCGTCGTCCAGCGCCTGTGATATTTCCGTTTCGCTTCCGAGTGAACTCATTTGTCGTTTTGTTTGTTTAGAATGTCCCAAGATGTGGATGTTGGTTCTTTGGTGCCTGCGGGTCTCCGGTCCGCGGGCTCCAAACTTCAAGACCACCAAGTGCCTGCTAATTACAGTATTCTGTCGGAGAACCTCAGAAGAGTCACCCCCAACGGCATTCAGTGTTCCATCTTTTGTCGGGGCCGACACTGCAAGTATGAGAATCCTGAGAGCTTCGATTCGACTCACATGGCCATTGATGGAATCTTCTCGCACTGGTAAGGGCCGTCGGTGTTTACGAATTCTTTGCTGATGGTGGACGTGAATAGTAACAGCACTTCGTCGTGTGATTATTTGAATGATGAATTGGGAATGCTGCTGACGTATTTTAAGGGAATTAGCGTTTCGAAGCTGAGCATTCTGACTTCTGTTCACTATTTTATGTCAAGGTTTCTTTTATCTCTTGTTTGTTTGTGTTCGTGGAAAGCTGCGCCTTAACGTAGGATGAAATTATAAGAACAGAGAATTTTACGAACCAGGTTGTTCGTCTTTCGTCTTCAGGTGAACGGAGGCCGTGAATTAAGTCGAAAAAGCAATTTAACGCAGTGTGCCAGGTTGTCGTGAGACACATTCAGCCTTCGAGGCGACCAGGAATGAAGCCACGAATTCCACCAAACTGATTTCTGTGGATGAGCAACGCACGCCATAGGCGGGGTACGTTGTGCTAAATTTTTCTTACATTTGCCCCTCACTGCTGTATTTACAGCGCGATTTTGGGTTGGGAAGACATAATTTCGAATAGCACGTTTTTGAAATTCACGGGGTGTAACGGACTTTGTTTATTCGTTGCCATGGCTATTGTGATTGCGTCACGCTCTTTAGTATCTCGTGATCACAGGATGACGCGACAGTCTTCACAAAAAAAGCCCACCGGCGGCCGATTGGCGTAATCTGCTAATACATCGCCCCACGTGACCCATTTCCCGTTTTGGTATTAAGAAGATTGCATCATGGGCCGCGTGAGGAAACAGAACAGCAGCGCACTGCGACTGTCATATTTGTCACACGCTGACCCTCCTTCACGCGTTGCTTTCGGCCGGTTCGATCCGGTTCTTCCGACGGTTGTCGCGTTTCTCAGAACGCGCGTTGTTTGCCCCACCAAAGAACGCAACCCGCTTTGCATAGAGGAACTACGGCAGAATAACACCTCGTGTTTTGCATGTGATTAATCAATACGGCCCACAGATCTCTCTCCTTCCTGTTCCATGAGTTAATGACGGGATCGGAGCAAGTTGGACGAGCCATGTAATGAATAAACATATTTGTGTTTTTATAATATTAAACTCCCCCCCTCCGAAACGTTGGTACGCGCCTAGAAGACGTCTTAACGCAGTCTCTCGACGTCCCATTCGTATGGGAAAGTGCACAGTAAATAATTTGCCTGCCTTGCAGATTCATCAAGCGGGCGTACTTTTCGTTGCTGCCACGTGACAGCGTTGAAACTTCCCTTTCGCTCAGATCCGCATTCTCAAGGTCGTCTTTTGTATTCCACGAGGGGCATCTGCCACTTTTCCCGTAGAGCTTCCTAATAAATTTCTTCTTTTATCACTTGTTTCTTGCCCGGTGTCAGAACCCCGCAGTCTCGAGGGCCTCAGTCCTGGTTAACAAAGTTTTCGTTCAATATCTGTCACTTGTCTGTTGCTTTCATCAGTTCTCTCTTTGAAATGGAAGTTAAGATGAAGACTTCGCGAAGGTTCCATGACAAACTGAGTGTCTTCGAAGGGCTACTTAAAACGAGGTGACGGTTCCGGAGGGCATCGCCCGTCTTTTATAAAGCGTTGGATTTTCCTTCACACACAGAAACTCAGTTTCATTTTATTTTATTTAACTATAAAACAGCGGCAGATATTTGGCATGCGTTTTAAATGTAAATGGAGTGCAGTTGGGGTCGCGCGTAAGTCGAAGGTTGAGTCGGACCTCATAAACCATCGAAGAGGACATAAAGTATTTGTCGCCTCTCGGCTGAAAGTCGCAGATAAATAGAAATAAGTGCCTTGGCCTCAGGACATTCGTTCCAGACTCCGTCAAAACTTGTCCTTTGAAAACTATTTCAACATTGCGAGGTCCGTGAACTTCCGTCACTGGCGCAGAAGTAATTTCCCTCGGACCCTTCACCGCGACTGGTACGGACGGGCCTCGGTGCCGCATGCAGCGAAATTCTTTCGTGTTTCTACCCCGTTACACCCATTACATGAATTCTTGTATAATGCCCTCACGTCAGGTGAGTGTTGACTGTGCTGTGACCAAGTAACAAGTCCGCATTACTTCTCTAAGAAGTAACTTTTTTAATTACCAGCGGTTGTGTGCCTTTATCAGTGCAGCGTGGCGATAAATATGAAGGTTATCTGCACTCGGTATCAGGGAGATGATTGAAGATCATTCACAGTCATTATTGCAGTCAGCCATCGCCTGTCAGAAGCAGGAACGTTGAAAATGCTCTCAAATTTCGCTTGAATCTTTACACAACCTGAATGAAGCTCCTCCCTACGTTAAGTTTTCATTGGCGTGAAAGATGTCGCCACCTTCGAGGCATCCAACACCAGAATTAATTCCTCGGCGAGATCGTCGTGCCTCCTCGTCCGTCCTACGACTTGCGCCCGTCGATCTTCTGCTGATACATCGCGCCGGCCTTCAGTGCCGTTGTTGTTTGATGGACCTGAATTATTGTCGTTGCAGGGTCACAGACGACATCCTGGCAATGGCTCGACCCAGCACAGAAATTATCAAAACTAGGAACATCATAGGACAATTTAAAAGGTAAGAACGTTCTTCGAATTTAATTAGTTACTTTTCAGTTCTTTGTGTTAACTGCGTGAGTGGAATAAGCTCTTAAAACAATGCACGCGTTACAGAAATAAATAAATAAATAAGTTTGAATCAGTTCACGCTGCGACTTTCAGCTGTCTGTCTGTCTGTAAACTTGCTCTAAATTCTCGTGGCAGCTGGCAACAATATTCTGTTCCTAATTTCACAGCGAATTAATCGTCCGATTCTCTCAGTAAATTATAAATCGTTTCTGTGCGCGAAGTGGATGGTTCGAACGTTAAAGCGACAAAATTCGATTTTCCACTCATTTCAAGTTTGTTCTAGCGGACAGCAATTTGCCTGCTGTCTGATGGACGCTCGGTGTTTGGTGACATCAGTTTTGTTACACTAACAAAGAGAAAAGTATGTAAACCTTGAAGCTAATGGCAGAACAAACAATTTAAGTGTATTCTGAAGCCCCCCCCCCCTCATAGACTAATTCAGTGACGTTCCACCACATATCACGTGTATCTTGTCGTGCGAGAAGACTTCGTAGATGTTGAAATGAATAAATTTGTAACTTAGGTTAAACCGATTCCAGGTTTCATTGAGCAGCCAACATGAAAGGCATTTTGAATTTTGTTTAGTGTTTTAATCTGTGTGGACCTTGTCGTAAATAATAAACGTACAAAATTGCCCTTACTACAAATTTCCAGCAGTTACACGCAGATACTTTGCATCTGATATTGTTAATAATTAGGCGTTCTGTTGAATTACTTGAACGCTCGTTACAGTGCCACAAATTTGTTGAATTGCAGCTTACAGTTACCCGAGAAAATATCGGCGAAAACACTGGGATGAATGAAAATATTATTTCCTTCGCTTAGAATAAGTACTTGAATATCGGATACTTTTTGTTGGTGTATACAATTTAAAAGCGTCGATGAAAACATGTTTCCAGATCTCTGTTTATTAAACTTTCAGTTTGTTTTGCGCGGCCGCCAATTTCTTTTGAGTAAGCTCGGTCAGCGTCGAGTCGACGTAAGCCTCGCCTGTGCGCTCTCTTCCGGCGATTGAACGAGTTAATCGGCCCGCTCAGTTGCGGAATTTCTCTCGTCGCGGGTCGACGTTGATGGTGCGGGGTGCAGCTAACTCTTCTTAGTCGAAACGACGTCGACATTTTCTTGGTGCAAGTGTTCGTAGTAGGTCGACGGTGGTTACTGTAGGGTAAAAATGTCAATGTGCAGAAGAGAGAGGCATTTTTAGAAGCAAGCCCAAATGTTGTACTCGTCTGGCCTGTGCTTGGAATCTGCTCACGCACCGACGAAATGTGGAGCTTTCCTACAAGCACGGGGAAGTCATTTTGAACGTCTTTTGTGATTTGAGGTGAGAATAATAATTGTAATGCCGTTTTAAGAGGAGAACACTTGTTTTTATTCAGTTCAGAAACTGTTATCTTGTTTACTCTCCAAAACACTGAAGATCGCGATTTATAAACCAATAACTTTGCCGGTTGTGATACTCGGTCTCTTACTTTGAAGGAATGGTAGGGGGGGTGGGGTGGGGGTTATGTTTTCCCGTGGGAAACGTAACGAGTGGTGTCGCGTGCGTTCCTGATGCGCCGATACACGTGACATCTTTCCGCGGATGGCAGATTCTAAACTTGTTTCCGGCCCCCACGCTGGGTTTGTGATGGACACATTCAGTGGCTCCGACTTCCCTTTTTCCTGCTTTGGTCTCAGAAGGGCAACGAAGAGTGCAAGTTGTCTTTGGCGAAACTTTTTAGGCTTCAAAAAGACACGGATTCTGGCCTTTACAGCGGAAGATGAGGACAACGGACAAGGGCATTTTCTACTTTTGTCGACTGGAATTGGTTTTTCTTATTTGTTCGACGTCTGACATCCGAGGAATGCAAATCGTAACATCTTCCATTACCAAAGATTATTTACCAAACTGATTTTGTACATTTTGTGGGAACATATTGAGGTCAGATACTTGTGATAGTCTATCGAAGGGCTTTGAAAATTCGATTTCTTTATTCCTTGAGGCTTCGAGAGTACCTTTTGTGACCATTAGGACACCGAATGCTGACAACATGAAGACCTTCCACCCAGTACGGGTTATAAAAAAGAAGGGATCGGCTTTGTCCGATTTTAGGAACGTGCTACTGGTGTAACTCCCTTTGGCGATACTACGTATTAAAAATAAAATATATGCAAACAAAATATGCCAAATGAAGTAAGGAGTTTAAGCTACCAGATTACACACACTGCAATTACTTCAACCGCGGAATCCCTTTTTATGGAACAAGTAGTTAAAATGTCACTGTACGTCGTGAGCATAAGAACTATTTTAATATAATTTTGCGCGAAAGCAGAATTTTCATGAAAGGGCGTCTGTTTGCAAGATGGGAGTCCGCCAGCGCTGCGGACTTGTGTTGCTCGCCTGTAGGTTCCGTCGCCGTCAACGGCAGGAGACGGGTTCCGGGCATAATTCCGCCTTCTCCGCTACTTCATTTCCTCCAGTTACTTCCAATTATTGTCGACTGACTACGTTGTTCGTGTCTTGTTTACAGCTTGGGAATAAAGTCCATCATAAACTTACAAACACCGGGAGAGCACGCAAGTTGCGGAAACGCCTTAGAAAGCTCCGGCTTCACGTACGACCCAGACGTATTCATGGAAAATAACAGTACGTATGCAGATTATTTTGTTTGCTTAATAAACTGCCATTTGTAAAGTGTGTGTACGAAAATCCATTACAGGGCCTACGAATTTAAACGACAGGCGTTTCGTACACTCTAACCTCAGTTTAGCCAAATATTATGGATATCTATTTGTAGGTTTTGAGCTTTTATCCTCAAAACCAAGAAATTCTGTTACCGTTCCAGGCGTATGGTCTAAATCTGCGTGCAGGAAGCCCTCTTGAAGCGATGTCAGTCCGCTCCTGATTTTTAGCGCGAAAGGGGTCTCTGTTGTTTCGCTGGACAAAGAAGGTCCCTTTTAATATTATTGCACGCCGATAATAAATTTCTTGTTTCAGTATACTTCTACAACTTTGGGTGGAAAGACTACGGTGAAGCTTCTCTGACGAGCCTGCTCGACATGGTGAAGGTCATGGCATTCGCCCTCACGGAAGGAAAAGTGGCCGTCCACTGCCACGCAGGTGAGACCACTTTCCATTCACGTGTTGCTTGGCGTAATTCTCGCTAGAACGAGCGGTCGATCAACACAAACACCCAAGCCTTGAGCGGAATTCGAACCACGATCCCAGCGATCGAGACCCAGTTCTTAACGTCATTCATTTGCGGTTCTTTAACGAAACTTTGTCAGTACGTCGGACGTCGTCGTACTCCATTGATTCTCGTCCAGTGTTCGGAGCAACACGGAAATGTGCTCATTAAGAATTTATTGTGCCGTGAGGTTCGACTTAGTTTTCGTGTCTCAGATGTCACCTTCACATTCCTGGAAAGACGCACAGAAATATCCAGAAAGATCTATTGTTGAAGCGCTGAAATGAAACTTTAATAAGACTGGACACTTTTAACTGTCATTATTATTTCAGTCGCAGTTCTACTTTGATTTTCACGCGCGTTCTCAACAATTGAACTAAATGATTTCACACAAAAGATAATTTTCTTACAATGTAATTTGCGTATTCAGTAGAGTCCGTTTTTCGTCCCGCTCTTGTCCTCTTTGTCTTCCGCTTGAGCATTTTCCGTGGAATTTCCAGACGCAGTTTCAGTTACGTTGGTCACCGGCGTGATTCTGCTGTTAAACGACGATGACGATTATGAAATTTCATCATCATCACTTTGTTCGAGGTTTATAGTAATACCGTTTTAAACACATTTGATTAGAATTTGTAAACTGAACAGAAGTTCGTATGCCAGAATTATTACGCAAACAAGAAATCGACACTCGAATGCAAAAGAACTTCTACGTGTGTTGGCTGCTTCAGAAGAAGGCGAACTTTGAGGGAAAATCGGCCAGGAACCTGAAACTGCCAACGCGGGACACGAGGTTGCCCTTGAAACGACGCTTCTGTTGGTGTTGATTGTCACGTGACGTAGGGGAGCACAAGCAGGTGGCCGATCGATGAACGTCGTACTCGGCGCAGACCTCATCCTCGACTTTTTGGATTACCGGCAAAACCTCGTTGTAGCTGCCAAGCCGACAGCTCAGGGAATTCAATGTTTCATAACGGCCTTCTCCACTCGCAGACAACGTCGATATTCCTCGGTATCGCATGAGTCAAGACGAAACAGAAAATAGCGCGAGTGTCGCCGGCCAGGACGAAGCGGAGACATTCGAAGCCCCACGCCCAGACCCCGAGAAACTTTTCATAACTTTCTGTATTTTCCTGAACGCCGAAGCCGTGCATTAAAACAGCAATGAAAAAAGGTTTCTTTTTTGTTTTGTTTATTCGCGTTGCTGGGCGTTCGGTGTAATTTCCCGGGGGCATTTTTCTTGGATCGAATTCCTCATTGTCTGTTCATACACGTTTAATAATTCATGTTCTGCCACACGCGAGACGTACGTAAGTTGCGTGTTGCGTCGGATTCTCTCCCCGTTTGACCTTCACCTTATGCAACACGCGTGATTCTGAGGACAACGCGCACAGAAGAATGCGGATGCAAGCCACGCGTTAAGTGGGGTTCGAACCCCCGACTCAGCGCTGCAGTGGTTTAAGCCGCCAATTTCATTATTTCCCTGCGTCGTCTTTCCTGCCAAGACAATGCAAACTTCGCTGCTGAGGCCTTCAACAGTTCTTCTTAAAAGTTTATGCACTCCACGTCGATGTAGGAGGTCACAGGATACAAAACGAAAACATTTCCCACAGTTGCCCTAATTTCTATTAATGCTAAGGTGTCTTATGTCGGAGTACGTCGAGAAAGTGTTGGCTGGAACATAATTAATTTATAAGTAACAATTAGCTTTTCAAGAAGTAATGTGCTTCTTCATCGTTTAATGTCGAATGTTCCGAGCGGGCGAGCCTCATGATTGGTTATAAGAACATAGGAAATGCTTTATCGTGTTATTATGTGTGATCTTCCTGTCAAGTTGGCAAAAATTTTAACACCGATCGTAATTAGGTAATGCGTTCAATCCATTGCAGGTCTTGGAAGAACAGGAGTTCTGATTGCTTGTTACCTGGTATACAGTTTGAGAGTTCGAGCGAACGACGCCATTCGCTTCGTTAGACTTAAGCGTCCTAACGCTGTGCAGACGAGAGGACAAATTCTCTGCGTCCAAGAGTTTGAACAATTCATTCTCCCACAGAGCATCGTCTTCTGCAACAGGCAAGTGGCGAGGAATGTCTTCCTTTCTACTCCCAAATCAAAAATGACTTAAATCATTTTCTGTCGCAAAGACGCGCTTCACTTGTGTCCGTTGAAGTGGATCGCAGTCGCACATCAAATTCATTTTGGGAAACTGTCACCTGACTAAATGAGATACATAAATTGATTCTTAACGCTTTGAAGCTGAAGCTCATCTAGATTATGCGAGGTGGGGCAGCGTTCATTCATCATTTTTAAAGATGTATTAGTCGATTACATTTTAATCAGAGTAATGTGAATTTAAAGAATTGTTTGCCATTACTGAGGAACATTTTAACAAAGTTGCATCTCAAAAATAACGCTCGTCGGACGTTGTCCGTCAAGATCGATGCGCTCGATTCGTAACGCCATATAAATGAAACAGAATATTAATGAATCATTAAATCTAATTTTGTGTGAAGGAAGTTGTACATAATACTTGCACTTACACACCATGAAACTGGTCACTAACCTAGTGCAGTGCTGATACGTAAATCTTGACTTCCGCCCTTCGCATACACTTGTAAACATTGCTCATCCTTTGTGGGGTCCAAACAGTTTTAATTAAACTTAATTTTAAAATTGTCTGACCTGTTAATAAGTGCGAGTACTGCTCCAGAATTGCATTCAAACATTTACCACCGCAATGTGTAATTAATTTCAGTATTTAATAAAAATGCTTTGTAATGTATTAACGCAGTGAAAAAGTAAGTGGTTCACCTGATGTCTATGTGACCGGAAGAATTACGAGTGTGCCCCATTTCAAGAAATTAGTCCACTCTAAGAAAGTACTTTATGATATTTTAATTGGGTTTAGTCATAATTCCTCTTGTATCCTTAACAGGGAGTTTGTTAAAGACAAGAAACAGGCAGATTTTAGTCTTACGCAATACTTGAACAGACAGAAGTTAATGTTACATGGATATGAAGCAAGAAAGCTGAAGTTCATTCCCAAGGTAAGCACAACTTCGTATCGACACAAAGATCACCGCTCGTCACATGATATTTACAGACGTGCTGTCGTGTTACTGAATGGCACCATAAAAATTATGAAAACTTTAAACTCCTGACATAGTACACGTCAATCTTCAGGTCTAAAAGTCTTCATTAATTACCCACATGACACAGTAATAATTTAACCCCAGGATCTTGACCACAAAACACATGTCAGAGCTTCTGCTTGCACTTGTAATAAAACTCAGAGCCGTTATTGTTGTTATCATTGTAATACTTTCTTTAATATTGTTCTTGACAAGAAATATCTTTCTACTATTCTACCACTACCAGCACTACACCACTATTATTATGGAAGGAAAATGTCTCCAGGATCCAGCTTAATGTTATCTTCTTGTTTTCTTATCATGGCAGATATCCAAGAAATTTTCCCTCTGAAATGCACCATTCTGAATGACACTTTTATTCTTTTCTTTTAATATTGTCTTCTGTCAGTAAATTTATCTTCTTTTGCAGATTCTGTTTGTCTTGTGTGAACGTCTCCTTAATTTGTGCGACCGCGAAGCTCTTGGTACACCTTATGGAGTACAAAATGATGTCACAAGTCTCTCCTTCACCCAAAACTTCATAGTCGCAAGAACAAACAACGAGCAGCGAACTGGATTTGTGCATTCTAATTCATCTTCAACAGGTTCTCTGCCTCACCATTTTCCAACATACGTTAGTGCTTACACGTTTCATGGCCATCAAATTACATTTTTCTTTTGTAAGGCTTGGGCTCACATCATTCGCTGTTACAGACTGGAGACTTCCACCGCTAAGGGACCCAGTACGGATGCAATGGCGTTACTACAATTGCAAAATTCACCATTTGAGGCCCAGTTTCAAATAATTTTGTTTAAATTTTAAATTTGGCTATCAACCTTTTAAGATCGTGTACCACATTCACTTTCCTTATTGACCAAGAGGCCAGTAATTTATAATTGATGACGATATATTGAAACTTCATGGAAGTGCGTTAAAATGCTACCAACTTAGTACACTATCGCATGTAATCGTATATGTTACTTGATAATTTTCTGACAGACTTGTTATTTACTGAAATTAAATATTTAATGGAGGTGGCGTGTAGAGCGATGGAGTGTCAGAAAAATGAACACGTCAGTGGACTGGAGGCAGCTCACCAATTAGGCCACTTGCGGTAGTGCGGCACTTAAGATGGGAAACATTGTGCTTCTAATTCAGTGGCTGCACTGTCCCAATGTGCATAAAAGAAGGCACTTTCAGTTGCAGCCTTGACATTAAGCCGTCCAATCAATGAAGTGTTGAAGGAACTGAATGCCCCATACTTTGCATTCTCTAGATCAGTGGTCCCCAATGCGGTGCCCGCGATGTTACGGAAAGAGGTCATACTGAATAATGAAGGCCGTTCAACCACAAACATTATAAAATCAAAGCGCAGATCTCAACTTACTGACGCCCATCTTGACGATTGCAAGCAGCAACATCATCCTACACTCCCAAATTTGAAAAACTGGCCGATGAAATGCAGTGACAAACATCACACTAACTTCCCACTTGAGTAATAATAATAATTGTACTTACAAAACTACGTATTTTTGATTGCGTGGTTTCTTGTATCAATAAACGTCGTGTTGTTTTGTGTATTTCTTGGTGTCCATATCTTATTTGTCCAGAGAAAGGAAAATTTGGCTTTGTTAATTGGTTGGTGCCCGCCACGATCTCATAAACTGTCAAATGTGCCCGTAGGCACAAAAAGATTGGGGATCACTGCTCTAGATCAAACCTTGAGACTCCTGCTTCTGTAAACTTCTGAAAGAGAATTATTTTTCATAATTAAGTACCATGAAATCTACAGGATCAATGGAAAAATGTGTATAAAGTCATACATAACCACTACAAGAATGTTTGAAAACCTTAACCAGCGATTTGAAGTGTGTCTTCACAATAACATTGAAATTTTACACTGTAGAAATTATTACTTTGTTTTTTGGACTGCTTTATAGCAGATGTTCTGGTATGCCACTAAAAATAAAAGAATTATGTTGTTTTACACAACAGTGGCATATTATTATCATTATCAAAACATCTGAGCATTTCAGTGCAGGTGTTGATAAAAATTCATTTCTGATCATCTTTCTACTAGACCAGGATCCATCACTACATGTCAAACTTTTCGCTTTCTCCCGTATGAAAAAAGCAGGAGAACTTTGTTATGACAGCACTTACTCAGGGAACGCTGTTGCTTGTTGCAGAGCAGCATTTCCGTTGCTGAAGTTTATTTCCTTTGCAGTTGCATCAGCTTCTTCCACTTGGAGACACTGCACTGAGCTTGATGACCAGCTTCCATCTTCAATAAGGAATCAAGATATGGACGACGACGACGACGACGACGATGTAGTAGCCGTGCCTCAGAATGTTCCCTGTATTTCTCCAGACATGCCTTCCTGTGCTTCAGGAATGTCAGGTAAAAATATTCATATTTTGATGCTTCCAGCTCAGTTAAATTTGATAAACAGCATGAAATTTGCACCACTGAAGTCTTACAATTAAAAGAATTTATCACTGAAACCCCCATGAATTATCTTCAGTAATAGTTGACACTTTCTTCTCAGCTTCATAATCACTGGGAATGTATACTTAATAGCTCTGTCACAGTGAAATGTTTTATGTAATGTACTGTGAGCTATTAAAAAGTAATAGTTTTCAAAATATGAGCTGGCGTTCCTGCTGCCTGATTTGTGAGCTGTTAGAGGTGGAAAGATGCAATTGTTTAAGGTTGGATTACGTATTTTGAATAAAACGCTTTTCTAGACGAGGTAATCTTCTAATAGTACCATTTTTAATGGAGCGGCGTACCTAACTGAATGCAATTTCTCAAACACATGTACTTACGTATATGCCTCATTATGGAGCTACTACAGCAATTTTGTTTTGTAAGTTCGTAAGAAGAATGGGAGAGATAAAAGTGAAGTCGACTACTACAAAATGACGAATGTTCTCACAGGACCATTTGGGGTGTTCCTTACGTGGTTTCAAGGTAAAAATTGATTGGGTAGGGATTCAGAAACTGTGACAATCAGGGAACAGAGAGAGATCAGAGCTGCTGCAATCAGTAAAGTGCACAGTTTCTTGTAGGAATTGACAGATAAAGGGAAAAAAGCTGTTGTCATGTGATAACCATTTTGTATCCCTCCCATTTTCCTTGCGAACCTAAGAAAATGGGATGACTGTAACTCCTTAAAGAAGCTTTTTCTCTCATTGGCTGAATTTGAAAACCTGTACTCAGTCTTGCATGTCCATGAGCTGCTATGCATATGAAGGACTCATATTTCTGGAGCATTCTGTATGTTGAAAAGTTCCAATGTGACATTTTGTGATTGTTGTTGGTATTGCATTATTTTCCACTCACTCCCTGCATTTGAGTTGGCCCATTTCACTTCACATTTGACCCCACCTCCTCTGCCCTTAACTGTATTTTTTTTAGGCAAGGAACGGAAATGTGGGGGATTCAACTTCCAAAGCGAAGTAAAGGCAGTGAGGGGTTTGTGCGTATGTCACAGCAGGTTCAACTAAACAAATATTAGGAGGTGTTTGACAGTAAAATAAATTAATGAACGATATTAAAACACGAGGCCAAATCACCAGGACACCCATAGAACCTCAGACAAACTTGACAGTACAAAAGTCTTTCCAGTCCCCTCTGAAATAATTTTATAACATTGTGTTAAAAATCACTCTTTTCCAAACTGCAGATGTTTATTATGGAAGAGCTGAGATGCTGTAATATGTAATGTTAATAGACTGCTAAAACAGGCACGCATGCACATATGCATTCTTACATACAAAAGAAAAAAGTTAAGCAAACCATGAAGATAATGTATTTTAAGTATACTAAAATATGTACAATAAACTGGGAATGGCAGAATGAGGTAACTTGCTTAAGCCCAAAGCAACACTAATGATGCCAATGACATCAGCCAAAAAGAAATGGTAACTGAATGGAAAACATGCATCCACAACAATATCTGAATTAATACGACATAAAACGAGGTAGGAGATAATTCACTGGGAGGGAAGGGATTAAATGCCGATTAAGGCAAATTGTGATTTGCAATACTGGACAGCCTTGCGGATAGTGACCTCCTACAGCACCTACTTTGTTTCCGTCTTCCTCAGACCCCTCGCATCAACATCTGAACTTTTTCGTCATTAGGATTGGATGACAGCTGTCTGGATGCTGTACTTGGAGATGGCATACATGATCAGACTTTGCAAGACAATATTTGCTATCAAGAATTAAGTTCCCAAAGTGACCTGAGAAATTCAGTTGAAAATGAAAAATTTGTTGTAAGTAGAAAAGTGTTCATTTTTATGAAAATATGCTTTTATAGATTCAGTATTGTATAACAGAAATATTCTATGTTAGTAGCAATTTTCAACATTGTTATTCAGTAAATCGCATATGAAATTACAGCTGAGCGCTATATTTTAATATAAAATATTAATATGTTAATATTATTTTTACTTAAGCCATATCATGTAGACGATGTGGCTCAAGCTCTTCTGGCTGACCACAACGTGTTAAGTGATGGAACGAGGAAATACATAAAGCAGTACCGAGTGAATCTGAACCACAGGCAGTCAGCATGGACGAGACTGCAAATGGAGAAGAACTTGTATGTTCTGACAGGACTGCTCTTTGACTGGTTAGAGCATCTTCGATTACCAGTTCTTAGTAGAGATGATCTCAGTTACATTGTGATACTCGGAAGCCAGCCAGAATCCTGCCTCAAGAAGATTAATCTAGTAAGTTGTCATTTCTTACTTCATACTGGCAAACATTAGGGAGTGTGATGTTAAAAAGTCTCATCGGATATTTACTAATCATTTTTAAAAACATCTGGGGCATTTATTTGTAAGATATCCCTATTAAAATTGCTGTACCACTGAGATAGCAGTAAATCATTGTCAGATAGTTACAGTGTATCTCCTTGTATACAAGAAAGTCTGCTCACAGACACCATGTGGCTTATCAGCCCTAGAGTCTTTTTCCTCGATGTCGCATATCGTCCACCGACGCCATCTAGCCGGAATAACCTCGTCGGTGGAAAGAGTAAGCCTGGACGATCTTTGACGTGCTCCATGTCTTTGTAGCAACACTTCTTGTTGGCCCGATCGTCGCGTATGGTGCCCCAAGTCCACAACTTGAAACTATTTCTTTTACTTTTACTGACCTTATACATACTTTACACTTTTCTGGGGTTTGTATCTGCTCTTCAAACATCTTAAATGAAATCAGTACTAAAACCTATTATCACCGTTACAGAAGTTGTTACGTACGCTTTGTTACAGGCAAGCCAGTACGTACTTGAGTACTTGTTTAGGTTTCTGGCACAACTTCATCCACTGTCTCAAGAAACTCGGCTCAACTTAATGAAGCGCTTTGTTGCTTCCTTAACACATCAGGGGGTTCCTATTCAGGGCATCCTCAAACCTTCAGGTATGCAATACCACGTATTAAAATATTCTGTAAACTTTTATTTATGCATTTGCTATGTTGACTTCGTTAGCTAGTGGAATGAACTTCACAGATTCCATACGGTACTGAAATTATGAGATACAGATTTGTTAATTAACTGGTGAGATAAAGGGGGATACTTTAAACTGCCCTATTATTTACTCACATAATAATAAGAAGCTACTTGTTTCTGCGTAGATTATTATGTCTAGAGCAGAAAACACACAACCGTGGTGCGATTGTACTCATATGGTGAGAAAAAAATTGTTATATTGCTGTGGCTAAATACAAGAACTTTTTGTTACAGTATTTTCCCAAATTTCAACCAGCAGTAAACATTTCTCAAGTATCATATTAGAAGGGGAAATTATAATTACTAAGCAGGATTTTAGGATTTCATCATTGTGAGAGATCAGATTATGGTCTTAAGGGTTGTGTACGCTATAGGCTTGTACTTCATTGCCAACATTTTAGGCAAATATACCAAAACTTCCAAGTATTTTATTTTCTTTGCAGGGAAAGGTTACCACAAGTTACGCGAGGGAACTTACCAGAAAGTAATGGAATTTGTATCAAAACTCTTTGACATGATATGTGAGACGACCGGATCAACAGCTCCTGTATTTTCAGAGCTGAGTAAGTCACAGCAGTCCATCAATTCCAAAACAGCAAATGACATTGAGGAGACTGAGATACTAACACCACTGTGAAGATGTGCCTATGATGGCGGTGCATTTTGTAAATGCGGTTATCTTTAATGGACTATTTATTCTCTGAGCCTTGAAAGACACTGCTTACAAATTTAAATGCGGGCTTTATATAATATTCCTGGTGGTAATCCAATGGTGCTAAATTCAAGAAATTTACATTGTATTTTCAAGAACATGGATGTTTTAACGACTGAAAATATATCCTCACTTTCAAGTTCATAAAGTTGGTTTAAACCGTATCACCTCTATTTAACAGCCTAGTTGTAGAATTGTTGCAGACGCAGTCGGCTGGGTGGCCATGAGTGGGACAGCTGACCAAGGCTCCAAATATGAACAGCATGATGTGTGAAATATTTCATACACAGCATCACTTTAAGCTCCCAAGAAATAAAAATGTAATATAAAAATAAAAAAACTGGAAGAGAAATAAAAGAGAACAAAGTTGAATTTTACGACTTCAGAACAAGACACTGTACAGTGTCGACATCCAGCGAATCCTTCCGCACTGAGCTTATCTTGCTAGGTAACATGTGAACAAAGATTTGTAGAGATGGTGAGTATTTGTTGTATCTATTACAGATCCGGAACAAGAACATTTTGCGGGGTTGAGTTGTTTCATCACACGCTTATGATTGGTTTCCTGTACATACGTGTACGAAATCAGTAAAAAGCGTGTGATACTGAATTATTACTACTTTCTTTGTTTTGGATATTATCCATCCTCTGCTTTATAAGGTCTTAACAAAATGTAAAACCTTGAAGAATTAAATTTCAAATAATAGATCTTCAAGCAAGAGAGAATTTTAAGACCTTTTAAAAAACATGGACAAAGTTCAAAATGAAGGAAGCAGTAATATAATAATGTCACCAGAGACGTTCAGAGAAGTTACCACAGTCATTGTTAATGGTAACATCTGTAATACTTCTCCATGCTATGTTAGAATTTTCATTCATTCTTAAAGTATATATCTTCTTCTATGGCTCTCCCATCCGTATTTGGTCCATGGCCTCCTCAATTCTCCTCTTCCATTCGTTCCTATTGTTAGGTCCATTCTATCCGAGGCTTTGATCAAGGTTTCGAAACATCTTCCTTTTTACGGTGCAAGGTTGTTAGCCTTGCGACCAACCCCCAACCTGGAGGACCAGGGTACCAGTCTTAGTCTGACCTCTCCTCCTCGACCAATCTGGCTAGGGAGGCCCTAACAGTAGCTCTTGGGGTCACCGAGGTACTCGAGCCCCACCACCACGACAAGGTGCAGGTACCATTAAGTGGGGAAAAGTATATATGCACCAATCAAATTTTTGTAATTTGGGGTCATTGTTGAGTTATCTGTGACTGACGATGTGCGCTGAGTTGAGGGGAGTATGTGTATTGTTTCAATAATTGCTGAAACATTCTAAAATAACGTTCTTAAGAATTTTAGCTTCCTACTGTTCAGTTACAGGAACTTCATACATAATTAGACAATTATAATAAAAAAACATAATCTGAAACAAATTACTCACCAGGTACCACACTGCAGTAAAAATAAGAAATAAATTATGTGAAAGTGAGGTTTTGTGGTTTGTTGGAACATAATAAAATGTCAGCCATGGTACAGATGCTTAGATAAATATGTGACTCTCCACTCCCCCTCTTTTATGCTGGAAGATGACACATCTCCCCCCTTTTCACTTGATATTATTGCAAGGCAGTGGATGAGCATCATAAGTATATAATAAGGAAATTACAGTAGTATATTTTCATTAATAACTTATGGCAAATTTGTCTTTGTGTTTAACCCTTCAAGCAGATTGACCAAGAGTGTACTTGCAGATAGAAGCCTCCTTTATTAGCAGAATCCTGAGTATCTACTTACGACCTGCAGGCACAGACAAATTGTTCATGCTGTGCTATCTGTTGGAGTTTTGTCATATTGTTTGGACCACAAGACCTTGAAACACTGTAGTTCAGTTCTTCCATCTGTTTGTTAATACGTGTGACTGCACCTGAGTTATTTCTTGTTTTTTTTTACATTGACACTGTGTTGACCAGTAAGCAAGATGGCATATTCTAGTCTTTTGCACTATCTGAATTTGGAAAAAATATTTTACAGGAACCTGTTAACAAAAACATTAGAATTTGTGATAGTCGAAGTGAATTAGGTGAAAATAATCATGTGGTTGAAAAACGATTGGGTAGTGAGAGAAGTGGTGCAGAAAACTAGTTTGGATTGCCAGCGGTGGTTGGTATTAAAACGAGAAAACGAAATCGCCTATACAGCGACGAACTGCATCTCCATAGTGACCTCACCAACATCGAGCCCTGCTGTCAGGTCATAAACATTTCCATTTAGAACATCCAAAAACTCGTTTATTGAAGTTAAAGTTTTTGTACATAATTATTTCACCTCATAGCCTATTTCGGTTGTACATAAATGGTTCCATCGCTTACGAGTAACAGAGTTTTACATAATTGGGGAGAAGATAAGCCGAGATTCCGAAAGGGATACGCAAATAATTTACGTCTGAGATATACTGTAGTATAGGATTGGTTGTCTGGTGTAGTCTTCAACAAAAATCGGCCTTATTTCATTCCATATGATTTGAACACGAACGCAGGTGTTAGGTTATACTCATGAGCTCCATTCGAAAAGTGTTGGTAATCAATAGTTGCGCTAGCGCAGTCTAACGTTAAAAATTTCGTTATTTCAAAGTAGCTAGGTTATGTGAGATTTCTCCAAAAGTAATGTTTGGTACATATATTTTCAGGAGCAGCTTGAATGCCTTGATACTACGTTAAATTTATACTCCAAAATTTTTCCCCCATTGTGAATATTGGAGCGGGGACTCGGCAGTGAATCAACTGTTCGGGGTGTATGAAAGGTAGTCATGAGAGTAAATTTGAAAACTGCTGTAATAATTTTCTCAGTTCTTTATATTGTACTTACATTGGTGACAATGTACAGACTATACAGTGATGTTATTGTTAGATCAGATGGTAAGTTGAAATATAAGAAACAATTTGTAAAACGTTTTCTCAAGTTACAGCTATTTGTCCTAGCATATTGGAGAATATAATGCTTTGAAATGCCACTTTAAAAATATGCTTAACAATCGCACCGTTTTGTAATTAGGAAAGTTATGGTTTATGCATGTCTTAAAGAAGGTCATTTCTTTAAATCTTCTGGTGTAAAAAATGTGGTTTGTCTCAGTTGCTTGAAGATTAGCATGTCACTTTACCACCAGTCGTATCGCAAGGACTTATGCCATGTGATGTAGCAAAGAAATTGCACTCTTCTTCATGTTAACATAAGTTCTTAAAGTTTTTACAGTTACATTAAAGACCAAGTATTGTACAATGCAGGTTATGTAAGAGCGGACTATAGTTGCTGTATGCCGAAGAGCAGAAGTTGCAGTGTCTGGCAGAGTGGTTTCTTTCAACATCTTTGAATGTGAATCTTACGACTTTGCTGTATAACGATGGGCTGTAGTGTGATCTGCAGTGCAGTGAATTATTTAACAAGAGTTTGCAGGTGACTCTGACCTGGGCAGTTTGTTTCTAGCAGACTGATACTGTGAGGAAAGGGCTGCTTGTAGTGGATTTCTCATCCAGTATCCTGCAGTATGGATTACAATTTTTTTTTATTTTGCAGGATTTTGCTGCTATTGCAGTGCTGTGTCATTGCTTTCAATTGTCATATGAAACCAGATATAAGTAGCAAAAGCAGATTACACTAGCCACAAAGTTAAGAAGTTACTTTGTATTTACAGAGAGTATCCATTTTGAGGAAGCCCACGATGCCAAGAGGAACACTTCTTTGTCTGAGAGTCCTCGAGGAACGAATATGAAGAATCCGATGACATCTCAGTATACAGTTGAGATATGGGCAAAAGCAGCAATTGGTCTTTATCTGTGGAAGCACGTGTTAAGTGGAGAACTTCAAAGTGTACAGAATGGATTCATTCAGGAGGGATATTTAACAGCAGATGACATAACCCTTGTATATCGCTCTGGGCCAGGTATAATTCAGACTACAGTCCCAAGCGATGTTCAGTACTTGGTTCTTGTACTGAATGGACGTTCAGAGGAGAAAATTATGTCTTCCAAAATGTGGCTGGATTATTTACCTTTGTACCAAAATTTGAAGAAATTGGCAGTTGTTCTTCTTGGAAATGAGAGGTGCGACAATAATTGGATTCTTCCGTATGTCCGTTCCAGAGGAGGTAGAATTGATTTAGTATTCCTTGTGTACGATTCTCCACTGATAGACAATGTGGAGTTTTACCAGTGGCCTCTGGGGGTGGCAGTGTAAGTATCTCACCTTTATATTCATAATATTATAGTTTTGTGATGGTGTATGAACTATTAAGGAAATTATGGGTGAACACTGGAATGTTTGGCCTTCATAATTTATGCACCTTTTTATTTTGGTGTGTTTATGTGTGGATCTATTACACCATCTTGTTAGTAATGTCTAGAACAGCATAGTCCTCTTGTAAAATTTTATTTAACTCTGATAATAGTGTCGTGGGAATTTTTAAGAACTGGCGACTGGATTTCTTTGTGTGATTTTTAAGAGTTTTAAAGCATTCTCTTTGAGTAATATTTTGTAGAATCATGTTACATGCTTAAAGAGAACTATTTTAGTTTAGTGTTCATGCAGGTTTTATGTGCTTGTTACAGGTACCGGGGATTTCCTAATATCAAGTCAGAGAAAGTTGATGTAACTTCTGTTCGTTCTCATATGTGCAATTTTTTGGGCACTGTCTATGAAAACTCTTCTCGTGAAATCCTCTCGCACGTTATCAAGTCCTTGGATTTCCAGGAAAACTGTATCATTTTAGAACGAAAAAGGTAAGTATCATTACTGGTGCTAATTCTATGATAATTTAGCTGAACGTTTTTGTAAGTGTCAGCTTTTAATAGAAATTTTGCTACTTGCAACAAAAAAATATGAGCTTGAAATATTGGAGGTCTCAGAATGGAAATGATGTAAGCGCACGACAGGCGTCATAATTCTAGTCATTCGTAATTTTGTATTTGCCCGTACGCAGCTTTTGTCCGCCTCCATTAACCACAATCAATTATGCTCATTCATCTCAGTTGGAGATTCGGTTCTGCTCCTAGTACAGGAGGTGAAGAGGTTGGAAAGTCAGAGTGCCCCAAGATTTTCTCTGTTCTAAGTGCAGTCCTGCATGAGAAAAACAAGAAGGATTTGCTGTTTTCATGGCGGTGAGTCTGAACACGGCTGTGCCATGTAGTTTGGTAAAACTTCTGCTAGACTACGTGGCACAATAACCTAGAAGACGGCCATGTTCATGACAAAATACTTCCATTGAATCTTTTTGCTGTGACTGATGGAATTGTATTCAGTTCCACCCCAATTAATTGTTCCATTTCCTTATTGCTTAGGTGGCTTCCTCTGGAAACTGAAGACTCTCTGAAATATTACATGGACTCATTACTGAAATCAGATCTTACGTTATGTCCT